ACACACACACACACACACACACACACACACACACACACACACACACACACACACACACACAAAACAAGGCATATTTGTATAAACGGATTGATGACTCAACAACATACAAAGGACTTTGAAGTCTCCACAAAGTAGCCAACCATTTTCTTTGTATTTGACCTTATTAAGAAGAAGTTGGAGATTTTCGTACGTTTCCTTCAAGTGAACCGAATGAATAATAGAAACAGATGCATATATGTTACCATTGTGAAGGAGAAGACCTTTTAGACTTCTTTTGGAGGAATCAATGAACAATCGCCACTCACTTGGTTCATAGACTGCAGCTCCTAGCATTGGTATTAATTCAGCAATATTGTTACAATAAACTAGTGAACCTTCTTACGAATAGTATGGTAGAAACTCTTTCTCACAATTTCTGTACCAGTAAAATTATGTCCATGAAGAATGTAAGTTGTTATCCCGAAGTCTAGACTCCGAAATCTCTGAAAAAAATCCTTTGGAAGGCCAAAACCTCTCACTAAATCATTAAGTTCATCTTATTTGAAAAGTTGTGGTTCACCAGACATTTCAGGTTGAAAACAATCCCTATCATAATTTCTATTAAAATCAGAATCAGATGAAACTATATCAAGAGTCTCCGGTGAAGTAGGTACAGGTACATCGGGTCAATGAGCAACAGGTCCTATAGCAGATTGAAGATTCGGATAAGAAATTTCCTTTGTTTCGAATGTTGTGACCTTGCACATTACATGAGCAAAAATAACAGGCATCACTATGGTTTCTGAGCTCACGCCAGACCATCGGAATTCCAAAAGGCAAAGACATTTTTTTGCCTTTGGTCCATTGTCTCCACTTATCGACACAAGCGGTGCAAACTTTGTGCGGAGCCCATGATTTGTCTTGGTCCCAAAGTTTTATTTCAAATGCGCGTAATACGTTTTCTTTACGAATTCTGTAATGTTTTGCCTTTGCTTCCTTACAACAAATTTTTGGGCCATTTACACAACCTCTTGTGGCCATAGCGACGAATAAATGTCAAAGTGCACGCACAAACAAATATTATCTAGAAATGATACGCTATGTGTCCGGTTAAGTGTCCGGTTAACCGTTTATGTACTAGCGGTGTGTTTCTCGTGGGTTCTAGAACAATCGATAAGACTCTCACGTCGCGATTGGTGTAGAGAAATCTACAGCCAGTGGTTTTCAACATTTTAAGAATAACAAAATGTGACTCGATTTCAATGGAAATGATTCACATATGTAAAAGTACATATGACGTTTTGTGGAAAATCTGTACGTGATGGAGAAAAATTGATATCATTTTCGGATTCAGTGTAAAGGAATTACTGTAGAACATTTAAAAATTTCAAGACAATAAAACCATCGCAGGCCTGTGTTAATCATGTAAAATTCCATGCTATTGCTCATAAGCGGCAGAAACAAATTGAATCTTGAGAGGCACCTTTCTCATGTTTACTGATTTGTTAAAAAGAAAGGCCAAACGAATTTGAACCAGTAAGAACTGCAACTGGCCTTCCATTTTTAGGCTTTACGTGCTGTTTACTGACTTTATTTTATTTTTAACGCTAAGAGTTTTAATTTTTAAAGGGACACTTTATTATTTTTACAAAAAAAAAGTGGGGCACGTGCCCCCAGTGTCCCCCTCCGCCGCCTGTCTTGATTAACGAAAATACAAAACAACAACAGAAAAAGAAACCAGAGGAGAGCGATATACAAAATATTATCTTTTATACACCAAACTAGATTGTAGTTGGTTTGAGATCTTAAATGGACTGCAACTGCCTGTTGAAAGAAAATAAGTCAACGTTTTGGCCTAAACGTCGTCTCCTTTTCTTTCAACAGGCAGTTTCAGTCCATTAAAGTTGTCAGACGTACTACGTGTAGATTGCGGTTACAATGTGAGAATCTAAATACTTACTTATCATGAAATGGAAGCAATGGCCTGAATAAGAAAGGAAAAAAGTATTATTTTTTATTGTTTATTTTAATTATGCACAAAGCTACACAAGGGCTATCTGTGCTCTGCACACCACGGGTATCGAAACCCGGTTTCTAGCGTTGTAAGTCCGCAGACATACCGCTGTGCCACTGGGGGGGCGGAAAAAAGTAACTTGAGTAATTCTACATACGAGTATTAATTGTGTTATTGTTAAAAGAAACTAATAATAATACGTTAAATAAATGAAATATCCTTAGGCTACTTCTTACCTATCAAAATTTGAAAGATTTAAATAAAAAAATAATTACTTAAAGGTATAGTATTTATACCTATTCCTAAGAACACGGCCTCGAATCCCTCTTCTTTCAATGACATCAAAGTGAAATCTCGTCCAAGTGCTTTGTCATGCTCAACCTGTAGGAAAACATTTATGTCATTGTGTTAAACATCATTATTGTAACTTGTTGACCTATTGTTGATATTTAACATTGTTTATTTCAGATTGTGTCGTGGAAAAGCTACTTTAGTACAGAACTTCCCAAAGTTATAAAACATGGCCAACTTTGGTAATCTATATAAATAATACGCTTGCGTTTGTCTGTCTCGAACTTTCTCGATCAAACGCTAAAAAATTCCATTTCGTCAAAAAGGCTTTTATCCGAGGAGTCCGGATCGCATATTGGCTTTTCCATTCAGAATCACCTTACCTGATTTTTGCTTAGTGAAACTTCTTAATGCAATGAGTATGCTACACAATGCCATAATGTCGTTGATATCACGTGACAACTGGCTATGATTTTAACTTCAGTTTTTTATTTGCAAAGTATTTGACACAAAGAACGCTTAACCCGCGTGTAATTTCCTAAAAAAAATTAACATTACACTACATACGTTTACTATTTGCTTTCCCGATTTATTTAGGCTAAAATAAGCATACACAGTTTGTTCAAAACCATATGTTTATCATTTTGCGAACACACATTCAGACGTTTCTACATATTCAGCTAAGTTTGCCTTCATTACAACTTTACATTTACTTTACTTTGCAAAAATTTTGCTTCGGTTCATATCATAAACGACTATAAAAACCTTTTAGCTACTTTATTTCTTTACTAGGGATTTTATTCTTTGTTTTTGTGAGTTTCTTTGTTTCAACTCGTAAAACCATATCATACACCGACTTAGGCCCTAAGCTCAATCGAAATATTGCTCACAAGATCGGCCGCATTGGTTGACCGTGGGAAAATCGAGATGGCCTGTTTTTATGCTCAAACCTGCCAAGATAAAGGTAATAACATAAATACTTAAATACTAATATATAAACATTATGGTTGATATTTGATATTTTAACAATTGATACAAAGGAGATGTGAGATAATATTTGTAAGATTACAAATTTCTTTAAAGCGGTGCCTTTGATACCGAGCATAGAAATTATAAAGCTGTCATTTGGCCGCAGCTATGGTTACAGGTTATCGTTTTTCAACAAATAAGTTTGAATTTTTTAAAAACAAAGCCTAAAAAGTTGAAAAAATCAAGCAATAAATCCACGGAAGCCAGAATTTTTACAAATATGTTCAAATAAGATTTTTTTATGTTATTACCCAGCTCCAGCCCATCCCACGGGCTGGATAAGATCAGGCCCGTGCAAACCTCTACTTTAAATACTAGATATTTTATCAAATAAATTACTAAGCCTTATTTATATCCCTTGCAAGTCTTTCATGAAGCTGAGTCTAATGTAGAAACTTTCTTACCTGGACGCCTAGATCTTTCATAAGATCGACTTCAAATTGTACTACTTCATGTGGAAGACGGTACTGAGGAATTTCTGAAGAGCTGAAACAAAACAACAAATAAATCTATTGACTCTTTTTTTTCTATAGCATTTTAATCTTATAATCAGCGCTCTACATAGCCATCGTAAAAATGAAACGTCAAATAGTTGATGTTATAATTACTATTTTATTATGGACTCTACTAAATACGTCTAATACATAAATTATAATTAATGTTAATACTTTACATCACACATCACAAGGCATGCTGATTCTGATAAGCGCTTAGGCTCCAACTCTTCCTTCCCAATATCCGACTAAAATCAAAAATAATCTTTACGTACGAAGGATGAGCAATGGACGTGTTCCCAAAGATCTTTTATAAGGAGAGCTGGCTAGAGGCGAAAAAAAGACCAACAGGCCGCCTCAACTTCATTTCAAAAATGCCTGCAAGAGAGACGTGAAGTTTATGGACATCGATCCGGACGCGTTGGAAAAAAAACTGCCGAGAACAGGAGTGACTGGAAGCAAGCAATTAAGCTGAGTCTTTGTAAGAAAGAGGAGAGAATGAAGGAAGAATTGGAAGAGAAGAGAACGCGTCGGAAAAATTCAAAAGCTGTGCGATCAACTTCAGAAGAACACGCAAGTTATCCACGTGACAGACGTCAGCGAACATACGCTTCTCGTTTGTTTGTTTTTTGAATTTCGTGCAAAGCTACACGAGGGCTATCTGTGCTAGCCGTCCCTAATTTAACAGTGAAGGACTAGAGGGAAGACAGCTACTCAACACCGCTAACTCTTGGGCTACTTTTTTTACCAACAAATAGTGGATTTGACCGTCACATTAT